CAAGGCATTGAACTCTGCGTCCATTGCATCACGCCACTCAGGAAACTTGACCGCCTGAGAGTAACAGGTAGGCTCAGACACCACGGTGGAAATAGTGGTTAAGGCAACATGTTGATGCAGACCCGAGCTACGAGTGTTCATGCCATGTAATCGAGGAGGCGAAGTGGATCGCCGAGGACACCCGCGCGGTCTGCCGCGTTGCTCAACCTGCTGGTCCGAGACAGTCCGCTCACTCGATGCGAACTGCTCGTGACCAGCACCGTCACTATGGCCAGAAGCCAACATAGGCTCGTCAATCTACCGAGTGCCATCAACAAAAGTGGCCGAGACATCATTCTTCGGCTCGGCACAACCGGTGCTGTGGCCCACGGTTCGAACCGTGGCTTAGGAACCTGCGAGGCAATAGGAGAAACAAAAGGAAACACAGCCTCATCGAATCGCACGTGGCGATAGATAAAAACCTTATTAGTGTTAGTATCTAAACAACAATAGCCACGATAAGACAGGGGTAACCCAAAAAGACACACGGAGATGAACGAAATTGTACCTTATTTCAATTATATGGACGCAAAACAGGAAAGCACAAACAACCAAATACCCGAAAGTAAGAGTAGTATGGGGGAGTACGATGCAAACGAAAGTGTGGTGACTCATCAGACAAAACACGAGTGGGTATTTTATTTATAAGATAGACAGCAGTCTCAAAAGCATAGTCCCAGAAACGAGAAGGAACAGATGCTTGAGCCATTAAGGACAGTCCTGTCTCAACAACATGACGATGCCTGCGCTCCACCCGTCCATTCTGTTCATGAGTATACGCACAAGATTGCCTGTGACGAATACCTAGAGAAGAAAGGGTGGAACCAAGCTTCTTATATTCCCCCCCTAAATCAGATTGAAAAGAAATAATATTGCGAGAAAAAGAACGTTCAACAAGTGACCGAAACTTATCAAATATGCCAAATAATTCAGATTTGTCACGCATCGGATAATACCATATATACCGTGTGTAATCATCCACAAACAACACAAAATATTTAAAGCCATTCGCAGAAAGTAACGGCGCAGGGCCCCAAATATCAGAATATATTAATTCTAAAGGATGTGTACTAGTAGTTTCAACACGAGATAATGGAAAACGAGATGATTTTCCCAATTGACAAGAGGAACAAACATTGGGAAGATCTTTCGAATTAAAAGTACTAACAGACGAAGGCACTAAAATTTTGCGTAAGACTCGAGAGTGCGGATGACCCAACCGCATATGCCAAACGAAGGACGAGCGCGCAACAACAAAGGCAGCTGGGGCAGGAGAAGACGTAGGCCAGGAATAAAGACCTCCAGACGCATGCCTTTTAAAAAAGACTTTCTTGGTCAAAGTGTCTTTCACAAAGAAACAAAGAGGGTGAAACTCAAAGAAAACATTATTATCTTTGGCAAAACGCTGAACAGATAATAATGAAGTAGAGAGACCAGGGACATGCAAAACATCACGCAATGTAAAGGATCTAGAATTAGTGGCTAACGAAGCAGAACCAACATTAACAATAGGCAAACCTGTACCACTGCCGACTCGCAAAGTTTCCGGGGCATTATAACTTGTTGCAGAAGTCATCAAGGACGAATCATGTGTAGCATGATTCGTAGCACCAGTGTCTGGGAACCACTCATGTGGACCTGTGTGATCACCATTCTCACCAGAGACAGACACATTCGCCTGAGGAGCCGGGGAGGTTGCAAAACGCTGAGAACCCTGAGCCCCTGAATATCGCCGAAATCAATTGGCTCCCGTGTGACCGAAACATTTTCAAATTTGACATGGATCAGCATAGTGCCAAAAACAATTGGCTCCCGTGTGACCAAAACCTTTACAAATTTGACTCGGTTCATCATAGCGCCATAAACAATTAGCTCCCGTGTGGCCGAAACCTTTACAAATTTGACACGGTTCTCGGTAACCTTTACAAGTGCTCATTGTAATTATGGAACCACATCAACCAACAATTGTAATTACCAACACTCTTAAGCGCTAAACCCTAGCTCCATGAGATAAAACCTGGAAACTGATACCAGATGAGAATATAGATTGTGTTGTATTCAATCATAATGTCTGAGAGTACAAAAAGCGAATATATAGATACTAGATAGAATCCTAGTCTAACATGAATAATATAGTCCTAGTCTAATATGGATAACATAGTCCTAGTCTAATATGGATAACATAGTCCTAATATAAACAAATCAAATATTTTAATTCGATTCGTGATTCGAATTTGAATATATCGATTTGAAATTGAATTATACGAATCAGAGTATATTTGATTCGATTAATATTCAAATATATTCGAATATATATATATATATATATATATATATATATATATATATATATATATATATATATATATATTAAAACTTAAATTTGTAATCAAAATTTTTATGCTATTTTAAATTAAATTTTTATTATATTTTATCTTATTAATTTCTTGAAGAACTTGGAAAAATATTAAGTTAAGCATTTCAAATTCGAATATTCAAGTCGAATCGAATATATTCGAATAATATAAACCGAATCGAATATGAATAAAATTTTATATTCGAATATTTATCGAATACGAATATGAATAGTTCTTAAAATACTCGAATTTGAATCGAATAGTAAGATATTTAACTTGATTCGATTTGATTACACCCTTATGTGTAAGGGATATGTGTGTGTGTGTGCGATATATATATGGTCAAGTTCTGGTGCGGCCGTGCGATCACTCACCATTTGGTGCGCATAAATTCACCACAAAGTGGTCGGAATACACCATTAGGTGTTGTGAGGTGTGGTGGATTTTTTTAGTGTGTGGTGTGTTTTGTGGTGCAGGGAAGGGTTCCCGTGTGGTTGTGCGAAGGATGCACCTTAAGCATTAAAATAGTGCACCTTAAGTACACAAACCACGCACCTTAAGCACACAAATAAAACACCTTAAGAACACAAATCACGCACCTTAAGAACACAAACCACGCACCTTAAGCATACAACAAAGCACCTTAAGAACACAAACCACGCACCTAAGGTTTCAAAATGGTTCACCTTAAGTTTCACACAACTGACGCAGCTTAAGCATACAAATCACGCACCTTAAACACAAAACACACACACCTTAAGTTTTAACAACTACTCACATTAAATTAAGTACACAACCCACGCACCTTAAGCACAAACCCCACGCACCTTAAGCACAAAACTCTCGCACCTTAAGTACAAAAACCACGCACCTTAAATTTGACCTAAATGCAAAAATTATCAAATTGCCACCGTATTTTTTTTTTTTTTATAATTTTGATAATCCTAGATGTGACAATGGCTCTCCTCTCACTACACAACCGCACATGGATGCACCAACTGTACCTGAACCTAATTATATATATATATATATATATATATATATATATATATATAATTAAGTTCCAGTGCATTTAAGTGTTTCCCGTGCGGTTGTGCGGTTTTAACGTGCGTCAGTTTTGTACTTCAAGTGCGTGAGTCTTGTGCTTAATGTGCATTAGGTTTGTGCTTAATGTGCGTGTGTTTGTGCTTAATGTGAGTTATTGTTAAAAACTTAAGTGAGTGAGTTTTGTGCTTAAGTGCGTGAGTTTTGTGCTTACGGTGCGTGAGTTTCGTGCTTAACATGCGTGCGTTTTGTGCTTAACGTGCATGTGTTTGTGCTTAATGTGCGTAGTTGTTGAAACTTAAAAGGTGCCTGAGTTCTGTGCTTAAGGTGCGTGCGGCTTGTTCTTAACATGCGCGAGGCTTGTGCTTAAGATGCGTGAGTTTTGTGCTTAACGTGCGTGAGTTTGTGTTCTGAAGGTTTTTGTTTGTGTGCTTAATGTGTTTGTGTTGTGTACTTAAAGTGCATCAGTTAATGTTTAATGTGCATCCAACCGCACAACTTCACGGGAAACCCTCCCGCACCGGAACCCTTCCATATATATATATATATATATATATATATAGTCCGGATCAGGTGAGGACCTAATCTTAGGTGAGGACGTGAGGACTAATCTAGACCATTAAATCAGAATGATGTATGATTGAGATTAAAAGAAACAAATCACACGGATTAAGAAAACAAATCCCTTTAAAATATTAAAATATATAAATTTAAGGTAAATCAGTCTTATTAAAATATGTGCATTCCTATACAAAATGTTGTGCATTCCTATACTGTGTGTTGTGCATCAATAACTTCATTGTTGTGCATTCAAACCCCGCCAAAAAATCACACAGTGAACATCCAATGTTCTACGATGCATTGAACTATGTGCTATAATGCACAACTCCCTAGCCTATAGTGCACAACTTACAACACTAGGTTGCACAATCAGCACACACGAATGCACAATCGTACTATCCAGGCATTTATACATATACACGACAATCCAAATATAGACAATATTATACTCAAAAGAACAAGCGAAAAAAATAAAAAAAATACTGATTAGTTTGCATGGGCGAACACTCAATCAATGATGAAGAAATCGCGGCTCCAAATTGCAACGGTGATGATCCAAGAAAATAGGAAATCAATTTGGCCAAGGATTATACATGCGTACACACTTAAAAAAATAGAAAAAGACACTATTATCCCACTTTAACAAAAAAATCAATCCATGTCATCTCAAGAACTCAAATCTGGACCATCCAAATTAAAAAACAAACGCACAAGATTAGTTCTCACGTCCTCACCTAAGATTAGGTCCTCACCTGATCCGGATTATATATATATATATATATATATATATATATATATATATATATATATATATATATATATATATATATATATATATATATATATATATATAATTCCATCCTTTTTAGATGAGTTTGAAAGGTATAATATAGACTTTCTCGCGCATAAAAATAACAAATCAATTTTACGAAAACTGTGTGCCATATGATTTGAATTTTCTTGTTTGAGTACTGAGAAAATTTCAGTTTAATGTGATAGGTGGTGGTAATAGCATTGAGAGCCTGTAAATCGGCTATACCAGGACCTGACTTTGGACTGGACAAATTTGAATGGTTTTCCAAAGGCTTTCAGCATACAAAAGATCATATTGACGAAAATTGTGACAAATTTTCTACAGACGACGAATCATTTCTTTGTCGCGTGTGTGAATGGAGATTGAACATGCATACCGGAGAGGTGAAGCAGAGGATTCTCACCGGAACTGATTTCTCGATGGAATTTCCGATGATTAATCACAATTTTGTGGGAGTTAGAAACAAATTTGGTTACACCCAAGTTGTTGACTCGCAAGCTAGCTCTATTTCAGGTAATTTTCTTAATTGTTTATTGTTTGGTTGTTCGTAGACTTCATATTTATTAGGAGAGTTAAGTTTTCAACCCTTGACGCACCTTAAATCACAGAGTAAAAAATCACTCATTTTAAGCACAAAAATTACGCACCATAACAAGGAAAATCACGCACCTTAAATTTGACTTAGATGCAAAAAGATCAAATTGACATTGCGCGTTTTTTTTATCATTGTTAATCCTAGACTTTGATTTAGGCAAGATCAATGGTTTAGATTTAACCGCACAACCGCGCACATGAAAATCACAACCGCACCTGAACATATATATATATATATATATATATATATATATATATATATATATATATATATATAACTGCCCGTCCAGGAAAGAATTACTCAGAACGCATAACATTCGTCCACATGTCCAGATTTAACGGACGAGAAATACTGATTTTTAACATAACGTGGTAGCATTTTCGTAAATAATTAGACATAACGCGGTCGTTCTCACCTAAGCGCGCCCATATATATATATATATATATATATATATATATATATATAGGTGTGATCTGGTGAGAATACTCGTCCAGGAGAGAAATAAGAATGCATGCCAGTCATCCACGTGTCTAGATCAACGAATCAGACTTATTTAAAAAAAAAAAAAAGAAATAAGACGTGGTGGCATTTTTGTAAATAACTCAAACTTTGGTGCAAGTAAATGTGTTATAAGTGCAAGTAGCTGGTACATCTTTGCAATTAAAATGTGCAAGTAAAATCACTTACGAGTGCACATATTTTCACTTACAAGTGCAAGTAGTTTTGTCTTGTTAACATTCGTGCACCTAGGTGCAACTACTTATAACTATAGATGTACCTAGTTATAATGCCAGGTGCACTTAGCATTGATGCTTAGTGTAAATTTTACTTGCACCTATAATACATTTTACATGCACTTGTAATACATTTTACTTGCACTTCGATATTCAATTATTTACGAAAATACCATCTCATTTTTTTTTATAAATCAATATTTTCATCCATTAGATCTAGATACGTAGACGGATGACATGCATTCTCATTTCTTGTTTGGACAAGCCATTCGCACCTGAGCGCTCTCCTATATATATATATATATATATATATATATATATATATATATATATATATATATATATATATATCACTGTAGGAAAATTTTATGTTCTCCCATCGTTTTTTTTTTTTTTTATTTTTAAATGTATTATATGCTCAACATTTCTACGACCATCTTAAATTTGTTGGTAGGGATCGCAAAATATGGAGGGTTGGCCAAGCTAAATTTTGAGCATTGGAGATTTGAAACCTCCATGGTAAAACATATATCACAAGATACACCTTGTATATATCAGTTTTGTTGAATTTATCCGACAAGTAGACAATTAAAATTCTAAATGATTAATATAATCAAGCTAGCATTTGTACTTGTGACTTAGGATGAAAAAGAATCACAAGATTTGATGAAAGTTGAGTACCATATGCTCCCAAACAACACATTTTGCAGTGGAGCTACGTTTGTTCCAAGAATCGGAGGAGTGGACGAGGATGATGGTTGGATTATCATGTTTGTACACAACGAAAACACAAATATATCTCAGGTAGGTAATTGTTATTATTATTTTTAGTGTTTTAATTATTGTTGCATGCTAGAATAAGATTATGTTTCCTTATATTAATCAAATTACAATTATTCTTATATTATAACACACTAATTTAGCACATTGCACCCATACATGTCAATGCAAATGTAATAATTGTCAAATTCAAGCGGTTACCACCACGGCAAAACTTATATCTTGTAACGAACGCGTAACTTTATTTCTTTATACTTGCGTAGCAATTAATGTTACATTTCAATAATAAGGTAATTTTATTTCCTTATACTTGCCAAATAAATGTGGTTGCTTTGCTTTGCTTCACATTATTATTTTTGAGTACTATCGACTCTATTATAATGTAATATCTGTTCAATATATTGTGTTTCAGAGTACATTATTACGGAGTATTATTATTATTATTATTAAGTGGCTTTGCTCATCATCATCATCACCACAACACAAAGACCTTTTATTCTTTAAATTACTCAGCTCCTTCTCTTTCAATTCCTATATATACCAAACACTATAATTGAAATTCTTAGTAATTCTATTTATGGCGACCAAACAATGGAATTTGAATTCTTATTTTATTCCACTTTATTCAATTCCTTTCCAACTGAATTCCAATTCTTTTCTCCCCTAATTATCTCTTTACAACCAAACGGTGTGTTAGTTCCATTGATTTCCTTTTGCAGGTATATATAGTTGATGCAAAGAAGTTTTCAAGTGAAGCAGTTGCAGTAATTAGCTTACCAAGTAGAGTGCCATATGGATTTCATGGAGCTTTCATGTCATTAGACTGTTAACAACTTAATTAACATGTTATAATAATCTGTTAATTAATGTCAATAAAATGTTTGTGTATATATGCCGTATGGATTTCTGTTATAATTTGTTTATAAATGTAAATAATTTGTTTATGATTGTCTTGTTCAATTCCTAATAAATTAATTAAATATCACTACAAAGGCGCAATTATACAACATGTTTTCAATGGACTTTGAATTCATAGTGTACTTACAATTGATGGATTATATTAACCCGGGGGTTCGAATTAATAAACCCAAATATATGAAAGAACGTGACAAGTATAGGATTAAACGAACTAAGAACAAATATAACGATAATAATGAACGAATATACGTCACGGGGATGAATATTGTATTAATCGTATATAAAGTGCTATTACAAAGACAGGAATCATGTAATAACAAGACAAGTCTAGATAAAAGGTAGGAGATGTCTAAACAAGACACAAATGAGGGTTTTTATACTCCATGTCGCCCCAATAATCCCGGAGGACGCGGTGGGAGCTGCTTCAACCGCCATGGACCGCAATCGTCGCTGCAAGACTCGGACAACGCGGAGACCCCGCTCCTTGTCCGAGCACGCACTGCTGGAAATTATGGAATTTCCGACCACCTGAAAGTAATCTTAAATCAAGTCGAAAGCAAAAAGTGGTCGGAAATAGCAACAAAGGTTTTTCCGGATACCAAAAGTGGTCGAAACAAGGCTTTCGACTTGATTTAAGATCACTTTCAGGTGGTCAGAAATTCTATAATTTCCAGCAGTGACGGAGCTCGGCCAAGTGGCCGACCATGAGGCGGCCGACCCTCGAGGTGGCTAACCCTCGGGGTAGCCGACCCTCGGGGTGCCCGACCCTCAAGGTAGCCGACCCTTGGGGTGTCCGACCCTCGAGGTACCCAACCCTCGAGGTGGCCGACCCTCGAGTTGGCCGACCCTCGGGGTGCCCAACCACGAGGTGGCCGACCGTGGCATGGCAGACCATGGGGTGGAAGACCATCCAATGGTCTGCTCGACCGACCTCGGTGTGGGTTCGTCCGTTGTTTCGGGTTTGATTTGTTCCATATTGTTCCACTCCGGATCTATTCATAATTATTCCATCAACAATTATATCAAAAATTATAATTAGTAGTGAAAGTATAATTGTATTTCTTTATATTTAGATAATAGTTAATATCACATTTTTTATAATAAAATATTATACTTGATCTTCAACCTCACCCTAACATGCATTATTTTCTTTATTAATGTGTCTTGTGGAATAATGCCAATTAATCCAAAAGTATAGCTTCTAGAACAGTTAAACTCAATGGAATCTCCACTCCGTAGGAAGGTAAAAGTAATACAACGGAGTAATGAGAGTATCATTTGTCAAAAGAAATTTTCATTTTTTTTAAAAAAAAAAAATTAGATGATATTAGTTTCGCCTGACTAATCGTAAATTTATAGAACTCCATCCCTAAAAGGTAAATTATTATGTGGAATATAGTCCACACAGTGCTATGTGGACCATAAAAAAATATTTTTAATATTTTAAAGTAGATTATTTGTATACATAATGTACATTATGCAAAATAATGTACTTTTATTACCCAGATAATATACTTTCCCTGAATAAAATGTACATTTCTAATATACTAAAAGTACATTATTTGATAGTATATAAAATAGAGTTCTACTACATGTACTCCCAAATCTTACTCCCTCAAATTTACTCTCTGATATGTTATTTTTTCATGTGGGCTCCTGTAAAAGTGTCTACATCAATATTTTATGTGTGAGAGTAAAAGTTGGGAGTAGAGAATGGGAGTACATGTAGTATTTTCCTATAAAATAATACTTTCTGATAGGGATAGACCCCCGAACCCGTGACCATATACCTAGTATCGGTCGGTAGAGTCTTCCCGACCGCTTGACTTGCGAACCCACCCTGACCAGACACTCAGGCGACTTCCTGACCCTTTTTGGGACCGCCAGAGCCGATCGGTAACCCGACCGAGCCGATCGTGCCAGGGTACACCCTATCGCAGTTTGACCGCGAGCCTGTGCCAACCGTCCTTCGTTACCCGCTCGGGGACCGCACGCTATGTGTCTGGCCTCGTATCCCTTGGTCCGCTAGGAATGCACTGCTGCGTGGCGGGATGTTACATGACCTCGGAGGTGACCGGTGCATGCTCACCACGTGGCAGCCATGCCGAGCTGCCGGGGCCTGTTCCCCACCCCCCCCCCCCTTCCTATAAATAGGACATTTATTGCAACTGGAGAGGACTTTTGGCATTTAATTGAACCGGAGCCTCCCGACCCACTGTTGGGAATCCCAAGCTTCAGTACTCTACGTATACCCGTATTTACAATATCATTTTGGCGCCGTCTATGGGGACCGGTACGAGAAGCCGCTTAGTGCGATAATTACCGATCCCTTACGCTATGTATCCGTTCATGAATTTCCACAACGACGCGGAAGCCGAGGAAAGCTCCTCCGACCACCACTCGTAGCTCAATTCCCGGATGGATCTCAATAGCACTCCGGGGAGGGGCCCAACCACCGACCCAGTTAACGACATCCAACAAGGGCCGACCTTCCCCGCAATGGTCAGGCAGATGATGTTCCAATACCCAGCATACCCGCCCGGGATGTTTGATCCCGCTTACCAATTTTGGCAGAGCCCCCAAAGGTTCTACACCCCGCAGTACCCTTACCAACCCGTTCCGGGAGTGTACCCGTTGTATGCACAGATGCCCGTGCCCAATGCACCCGAGCTCCGCCGAGCCTAGTCCGAACGTCGCCCGGTCCGGTCGAGATTAGGCCTTGAGGGTGCCTCTAAGGGAAGAGACGAAGTGGTCCCCGAAAAGACCAGTGCCTTCGTTCGTTTGGGTTCCCGCGGTGAAGCTCGGGAATCCGTGAACGCACCGGCGGCCAGTCATCAGGAGGGGTCGGTCGAGGTCAGTACCTCCTGATCTAGGAGACATGCGAAGCGGGCCACCGCACGCCCGTGATGACCTGCAGATAGAGGCTAGGAGACTCCTGCAACAGGTCCGTCAGGAGTTCAACAGATGGAAGCAAGAGCACGGATCACGATCGAACGAGGCCGATGCGCCCTTGCTACGAACTCCCTTCACGACCGACATCATGAACCAGCCATACCCTTATGACCTGCGGATCCCCGGAAGCAAGGATTATGATGGAAAAGCTGACCCAGAGGCCCATGTCAACTCCTATTATTGCAACATGTCAATGATGAGCGTAACCGACGCAGTAATGTGCCGGGCATTCTATTCCACTCTCACCGGGCGAGCTACAAATTAGTTCAAATCGCTAGAGCCCGGATCGATACCGTGCTTCGCTGAGCTGGGGAAGAAGTTAGTGCAAAAATTTGCGACCTCAAAGGCAGTGAGGAAGCATTTTACGTACCTCGAAAAGGCGAAGCAGTTGGAAGGCGAGTCCTTGACCGACGTCCTAGTCAAGTGGAAAAGTGCGATCGGCGAAGTTGAGCTGATGGCTGATCGGACTGCGGTGAACGTCCTTCACTCATCTATCCAAGCAGGAGCGTTGTACCAAGAGTTCATCCTGCACCCCCCGAAGAGTTATGATGAGCCCATACGACGAGTCACTGACTATGCCAAAGCCGGTCGAGGTCCGGGTGGGGCACTGGATTTCACGCTGCTGAACCGATCGGTGGTAGACGTCCCTCGGTACGCCCAGTTTTGTGATATGATCCAGCTCCCCGAACCGTTTAGTGACGGTCGGGATAAGTCGAAGTTTTGCGCCTACCATCGCTGCAAGGGCCATGAGACGTAGGAATGCACATACCTGAAACAGTTGATCGAGGATTTACTTTAATCGGGTAAATTAACACAATTCACTGACAAGAAGGAGGAAGGAAAGAAGTCCTCGTGGAAGAAGATCTTCAAAAGGTCGGACCACGGTAAGAAAGACAATGACCCCTCTCGCCCGCCATCCACTAAGTAGGTGATCCATGTCATCTTTGGCGGTCCTGAGGATTGTCGTGGGCCCAGAGAGCATCTCCCAATCGGTCTAATCAGATCAGAGACCGGAGAAAAAAGGCAGAAACTCGAGCCAATCACATTCACTACCAACGACGTCCCAAAGGGAATGGACAATAGCGCGGAGGCGCTCATGGTCACGATCGACACCATAGGAATGGACGTGCAGCGAGTTATGATTGACACTGGAAGCAGCGTAAACGTCCTCTACATAGATGTGTTCCAGAAGCTCAAGCTCGACCCGATCGAGCTCACCCCGATTAGTACCCCCCTGTCCGATTTTACCGGTGACACAATCCACCCGGAAGGAAAGATAAGCTTGCCGGTGGAGATCGGCACGTTCCCACGTGTAGTGAAGACCATGATGGAGTTTGTGGTAGTCAGTTTGTGCTGTGTACACAATGCAATCCTAGGACGGCCGACCATCATTTCGACTGGGGGGATAATTTCCATATCGCACCTGTGCATGAAGTTCCCGACACCAAAAGGGGTCAGCGTTATCCGAGGAGATGTCCGATCTTCCAGGAGCTGCTACCTCAAAGCTGTGAATCGAAAGGAGGCCAAGAGCTCTCGAGTAAATTCGATCTCCAAGAGGAGCGACGAGGGGAAAGAGGGAGCAGTTCAAACCCGTGGATGAAATAGAGGAGGTCCCACTACACAAGTGCCGACCAGAGAGGACAGTTCGAATTGGTCGGGGATTGACTCTTGAACTCAAGGCCGCCGTACTATCGGTCCTAAGGGAGTTTTCAAACGTCTTCACCTGGGGCCCAGAAGATATGCCGGGCGTGGACCGGTCTGTGATATATCACCATTTGGCTGTCAACCCAACAGCCCGGCCGATAAAGCAAAGGACAAAGCACCTCTCCACTGACCGACGAGACTTTGTGAAAAACGAAGTTAAAACCCTCGTCGAGATCGGTCACATTCGATCGGTGGCGTACCCAGACTGGGTCGCAAACGTTGTTCTTGTGCCTAAGCCTCCCACCTGACGGATGTGCATCGACTACACTGACCTGAATTGTGCCTACCCGTTGGATCCATACCCCTTGCCGAGCAT